CACGTTATAATTTTGATGGGTTTTGAACATGGAAGGTATCTCAGTACCCTGGGAAGTTTTAAAGACTGCTTTTGAACGGAAATGGCTGTGTGGTAAATGTGAATCATGAAGGAAGGGAACGGGTCTCAGAGAGCCTCCAGAGGAGCCTTCTCAGATGTCCTTTACACCAACCCACACAAGAAAGGTTCCACGAGGTGAGCAAATACACACTGCACTCCTTTTATGTGGTAGAAATTATGTACACATGGACATGGTGTGCTCAGACAGAAGTGACCCCTCATTTCTAGTTTGTGTTCATCATAATCATTATCTTCATCTTCAGTCAGAACACCATGTAGCTTTCCTAGTACTGCAGTAAGGGCTTTATTCTCATTGTTAGTTAAGATGGTCATCATGACAGCAAAAGGATTACCACTATTATCACAGATTCATAGAGGAGGAGACTGGGGATCAGTGAGGTCAAATAATTTTCTGGTCAAGGAAGAGTGATGTTTGAATGTGGCCACCAGTCTTGCTGCTCTAAGGCGTCACACCCTTCGACTAATGCCTCCCTGTAGTAAGTGCTGTATGGAGAGGATGGTAGTGGAGCTAGAGGAGAGAGGGGTAAGTGAAGAACACTTGGGACACTTTGACCTTCATAGGATAACTTTTTCCTAAGTAATAAACTTTGGTCTTAGGGGAAAAGATGGTAAGTATGCAATTCTCTTCAAATTATTAGAAATGATCAAGTACAGACTATTAAAACTAAATATTTTACTACTGATAGCAATAAATATACACAATCAATAAATAATTAGTGATATAATTGGGTATATCTGCTGTGAGCTTTGTGACTATGTTTGTATGAATGCCTGAACCTTGGCTGGTATTCATTTGACCCAGTTCCTGGTTTTGTCTGCTGAATGAAACATCGTGTTTTGGAGCACACCATACACTGGCACTGAATGAAGAATATATCATGGTGCATTTATTCTAGGATACAGTCTTTTGGATAATTGCATTACATGAAGTTATGATACCTTTTGACCCTTACTATTTCTTCTAACATAAATGTGGAGGTTTGCAGTTCTTAAAAGTCATTTTAAACTTCCCTTTCACTCCATTTCTGTCTATAGAACCTCCATTTCATGGTTACTCAGACCTGGATGTTGATGAGATGGCTCAACAGGTAAAGGCACCTGCTGCTAAGCTTGTTGACCTCAGCTCAAATTCTGGGACCTACATGGTAGGAGAGAACTGACTTTTGAAAATTGTCTTCTGACCTTCACATGTGTCCCCCACCCTTTCCCAAACAAGGGTAATAATTCTGGCCATGGGTGAGCTGCCCCATGTCCCACTTCACAGGTCCAGAATTTCTTTGACTCCTTTGTCACCCTTGTGACAGTGTAAATTAAAAGATGGGCACCTACAAAATTGAGCAGGTCCCCATTCTCACTGGAACCTCTCTGCTGTAATTACCAGGAAGGATGGGTATTTATGATTGGCATTTTCTGAGCTTAGTTTGTCACTGATGAGTGTATTTGGTAACCCAGGTATAGGCTAATGGCTCAGGGCCGGAGGGCAGACCTTAATGACATAAGTTGAGCCCTAGTTCTCCTTTTGTTTGAATTTTGCTTACCCTTAGAGTTGTCTGGCCAGGCAAATCTACCTATGCATCTATTTATTTCTCCTTTGGCTGGTTTAAATTGTGTTTCTTGTTACTTAGATATTTTCTAATTTAACTGATTATAGTTAAATAAAGTAAGTTTCATGTTATACTTATGATACCTTTATATTAGGTGAATATGTGGTGCTTTTTTGCTCTCTTGTTAAAATGGTTTATTTGGCGCCTGAAGCTTTGCAATGCAGCTGGACCTGCTGTATCTGTGTTTTTTCCTCTGTGTGAATGGTGGGGAGGGAAGAGTGGGTGAGAGGACAGCACACAGCCTGTGGCTCAGGCCATCACGCTCCACGAGAAGGGAAATGTGATGTCACTTATTGTCAAAAGTACCCGTGTTACCATTTGAAGCCACTTGGATTTCCAGGCTCTTTGGAGCATCATTCTTTTGTTCCCTATCTTTCTTCCTTGTATTCATCTGAAAATACTTTCTAGAAAAGACATCTGTCTAAGGTGTGGGGAAATTCACCTTCATCATTCTTTTTATTGCTTACCAATGCAATGCTTAAGTGTGTATCAGAAGATGAAATTCACTAAAATAAATTCAAGTACAAGAAAATTAAACAGCTCAAAAACAAGGGAAGCAAAAACATTATTCACCATGGCCACCTGGTTTCCCATCTGCCCTTCCTTTCTCCCCCAGTGGACTTATGGAGCAGTGGTTTCCTTCCTGGGTCTCTTTCAATCTAACTACTGGTTTTCTCAGAAACATCTTAGAATAAAAATTGGATTTTACAAATAACCCCTGTACATTACATAATTGAAAATTAAATATAATTGTGAAAATTAAGTGTTAAGCCTGTTGCTTTTCTTGGCTAAATACATAGAATACAATAAAACTAAGAAACTGAAATGGATGTAATTATGCATGTATGCTTGATCATCAAGGAAGTCAGCCAAAAATATGCCCAATTCCCTTTCCAAATCAAGTAGGTCAGTATTGGGGGGCATTTAGAAGTCTTTGCAAAATAGAGTTGACACACTATAATCATTTAATGGCACAAATTCCCATTAGCATAACTGCTGCATAAATAATGTTCATTATAGTGATTAGAAATGTTAATTTCTTAGAGCAATCAAAATTTTCTTTCATCTTCACTAGCGGTACTTTTTAAGCTGCAGGTTTATGACCCATGAAATCAATTTAGTAGGGTACAATCAGCATTCAGGAAAATAGATTAAAGGAGAAAATATTCAATTTCATTGCATATTGTCCATGTAAATATCATCCCAGTTTCAATTTTTAAAGTGCAATTATGTATAACTCCTTGATTATGACATACACTGTATTTCATTTGTGAAATACCATGCTAAAAACTATCTGGAGGACAGGTATTCTATAGTATGACAAATGAATTCCAGGACTGACCTGAAAATGATCCATAATTTCTAGTTTCACAAATTGTTAAAGACAAGTGTTTTCATTGAACAGCCATAGTCACTCTATTTGCAATGATAATCAGATTACTTCCCCATTTGCCATGAAGTTTGTTCACGGCAGCTGTTGTTGTTATTGGAATGGGGGTTATCTTGGCTGTATATATGAGCTCTCAGGTTTGGACTGAACTGTTCTCTAGCCAGATCCTCTTGGGCACACTCTGACTGGCTCCATACCTCAGGTTCCTTATAAGTGAGTCTAATGATTGTGCAGAATCAGTGAATGAATTCACTAAGAGCTCTTTACAGTGTTGGGCACATAGTGTCCAATGTTCAACAAACATTGCTTATTGATATTACTTTCCTCATTATCCTTATGAGAATAGAAAATATCAAACTTTCTTGCATCAAAGTTTTATCTTTGCCTCTAATAGAGGTAGCATAAAGCCCAGAGTGTATCTTGTGGCTCAGCATAGCCCCCCAGGCCCTTAATTTTCCTTCCCAGCAATTATATTTGTAGTTGAAATGAAACACCTTACAGAAATGTTCAACCTGCAATATACCACACAATATGAGGGACTGGGACTCCCCTGAAATGTGATCAGGAGTCTGGTGTATGCATATAGACACTCAGGGAGTGGGCAGGGAAGCCTGGTGATCACATTTGTCTAAGGTTCTCATGTGGTATAGTGAGAAGTTCAATATCTTGGACCTAAGTCCAGACATAATAATTAGTATTCATTGTTCAGCATGTTACTTCAACTCTTGTAGCTTTTCTTACTCCATTGGCAAAGGGGAATAAGTTTCTGAATCATATAGTTGTTGCCATGTTTACTGTAGTTGTAAAGAGCTTGGCACAACTACTGCCACATAATAAGTCCTCAAGAAAATATTGATAGTGAAAGAAGAACAATATACTAGAAAAAGAGCATGAAGCAACTGTCCTTTTAACTATGAATTGCAGAATACTGATTCTATCACTGGATCACTGAATAATCCATTCACTTCTTTATCCAACAAAAACTGAATGCTGTATGAATTGGGGACAGAGTACTGTGCTGTGAATGGATGAGATAGCTTTTCTGCTCTCATTGAGTTTGTGATTTATGGAGGTCATGGGTAGGCGATGACTAGGCAGGTGGTAAACACTGCTGCAGGTACATTATGGGGCTAAGTGAGAACACAAATATTTGCAACTGAGAACAACTTTCAGAAACATTTGTGCTTTGTTTGTTATATGTCCAGCCTGAATTTTAGAAATGAACAGGCCTCTTCCTTCTGTTTATGTTTATTTATTAAACGTTTTTCCAAGTGTAATTTGATTATTAAGGTATACTAAAGAGGAGATTTGATCTATAGAACCTGGAGGAAACTGGGAAGTTAGTGAGATATCTTTGAAGGACTGGGTCTAGAGAGTAGGACAAATATCTACCTTATAAATTACAATCCAACAACCCAAGTATTCCTCTGTTTAAAATGTTAAAAAGGGAACTTAGAGTTCTGTCTAATGCTCAGTTACAACAAGGAGTGTAGGTTAAGTTTTTGTTTCTTACTGATTTCCTCTTAATGATATTTGATTTTTAATTTTAATATATACACCCATTTAATTTTAATAAGCACATCTATACCCACATCCATGTAGATGGCTTTGAGAATAAAGTACTAATAACTATTAAATAACTTTATATAACTTTGCATTTTACATATTACATTAACATTTTCATTTACATTTTTATGACCCAATAAACTTGAGTTATATTATATTCAAAACTTACAAAATTGAGCCACATGCAATATGTCTGCATTAAAAGGCTTCCATAGCGGTAACAGTGTCTTACACAGTGGGTCAATGGGCTGTCAGTAATTAGATGTGACACAAAATCATCTGGGGTTAAGTCCATTAATAGGAGACATACAGTATCTATTTAAATTACTTTTTGTATTACGTGGATAGAGGAATTCTTACCTTTGAGTAATGCTGTCAGGATAGCTAAATCAATGTCCTGGTGGCCTTCTGATCCCATTCGAAATACTGTGATCTGCAATTTGAGACAAAAAGATGGTTAACAACACATTTTTTCCTTCAGAGAGAAATAAAGTCAATGAAACCACTTCTGAGCAGTGACTATTTTACTGTCTCAGAAGTAGGTTCCTAACTGTAGGGCAAGCATACATAATGAGGATCAGAGCAGAGGACTCTGCCATTCATTAGGAGATAGATGGGTCAATAGTCTCCAAGTGGGGACCATCTTACATAACTACTGATAGTGGTTATCAAGCAAGATTTTCAAGATTCAAACATGTAAATTGTAACACAGACCATAGCTGGTCGCTATGCTCTGTAGAAAATGGTGCACTGCACATGTACATATGTGCACTATAACTGTCTCTACACTTATTCCTTAGCAATAGTCATCTGCATTGGTTGTTTTTTGTCAGCTTGACACAGCCTAGACATATCTGGGAAGAAGGCTTCTTCACTGAGAAAGCGCCTCCCTAAGATTGTCCTGTAGACCAGTCTGTAGGACATTTTCTCGATTAATGATCATTATGGAAGGGCTCAAACTGCTGCGCACAGTACACTCCTGGGGTGTACAATAATGCCTGGAACTGGAGAGATGGGCCAGTGGTTAAAAGCTCTGGCTGCTTTTTCAGAGGACCCAGTTTCAGTTCTGAGCACCTACATGGCAGTTCACAGATGTTTGTAACTCCAGTTCCAGGCATCTGACAATCTCTTCTGGCCTCTGCAGGCACCAAGCGTGCATGTGGTACATAGAGATACATGTATGCAAACACCCATGTATACAAAATAAAATAATAATAAATAAAAAAAGAAAAATAAACTAGTCTGAGAAAGCTAGGAAGTCAGAATTCCCCTGTGACCTTTGTTTCAGTTCCTGTCTCCACATTTCTGTCTTGAGTTCCTGCCCTTACTTTCCTCAGTGATGGAGCATGATCCTGGGGTTGTAACCTGAAATAAACCCTTTCCTCACCAAGTTGCTTTAGGTTATGGTATTTTATCATAGCAGTAAAAATCTCAACTAAGACATCATTCAAGAGTTTTGACATTAGGGAGGCATATCACTGTTCAATCCTCTCAGTGACTTTGAATAGCCTTTAGAATAATCGAGCAGTATATCCAGATGGTAAGAAATGGACAGAAGGCAGTAAAGTAACGTCTTTTCCATGGTAATATAGGAGAGACACACAGTCTCTGGGGAAGAATAACAGGAAGGAGAGAGAAGAAACATCAGTGAGGAACTAACTCTTCCCTGAGCCTTGACTGTTGACAAGGGAAAGAGAGAGCTAGGAGACTCATTCTGGAGGAGATGCTTTCGCTAACAATTGTTACTGCTACCATGAAGTAGTGATTGGGAATAATCTCTACTTTTATGGCACTGAAGAATTTCCCTCATAACCTTAAACCTGGCTGACATTGAGAGAAAGCCCCAAGAAATGTCATTTGTATGCATTCATTATGGTCTCCAAAGGCCCAGGTTTATGTTTCTGGGTGGGGTCTTTTATGGGCACATAGGAAACACTGCCATCCACATTGATGTGCAGCCAGGATTTCTTTATATCATGTGCCCTGAGAAGTGAATGTCCTCAGATGACTTTCCCTTTCACTTTGTAGAGTGCTGACGACAGAGAGCAAGTTTCCAGGCTTAAAAGGCAAAGACAAGCAGCTTCAGCATGTGGCATGGGCAGCATTTTAGAGATAAAACTCAACTGGAAAGGGAAGAAAGGGCAGAAAGACACACATCCCAGGAATGAGCAAGACCCATCAGGGAGTAACTAGGAAAGAGCACCTCTTCCATACTCCAACTTGTTGTTGGAGACAACAGCGATTCATGGCTAAATATTGGTCTCCAGCAGGGATGAGCTAAAGAATGGTTTTGGAGCAAACATTTGTATGAAAAACTTAGTGAAGGATTTTTGTAACAGAGGAAGGCTTAATCTACTTTAAGAAATCGTCTGGCCTTCTTCATAAAGAGTTTGTGAAGATTATAATGGGAAAGTAAAAACATTGCTGAAGGGTGGGAGAGATTGCTAAATGATGCATAGCCTTAGTTAACTGATCAGACAGTACAATTCAAAAATAAGCTGGTATCCAATAAGTGAATTTACAGTTAGTTGTAATTTCAATAAAATCCCAAACGTGTTCTTGTGGCTTTGATAGACTGATTTCAGGATCATGTAGAATTATTTACCAAATCATAGATTTTTAAGAGCAGTATGATTTTGGCATTGGAAACAATGAGTAAATCATGGAATAGAATATATTTAAATAAATATACATTTATGTAAATGTATGTATACATATATTCCTAAATATTGTCTTCTAGTAATATCAGAAGGCACACCCATAAAATCTCACCAACATTAGTGCCCAAACATGTTCTAAAAATAGTTATTTTAGAGCCACTGATCCTAGCTGTTATATGCTTGGATTAGGTAATTCTCTTCAATTTTTGTGTCTGGAGTCTACCAAAATTTATGTCCTCTTTATGGCGCATGACACTTCAGTTAGGCTTGTTTTTATCTGAATGCGCTACATAATAATCCTCCTTCAGGTGTCCTACCTATGGTTTTATCGGTTGTCTTCCTTAAATCCTTATGTTGAAACCTAGAGCCAGTGTGATGCTTCTGGGATGTAGGGCGATTAAGGGGGTTTTAGGTCTTGACTAATGATTGCTATAAATTAGTATCAGTGTAAAAGAGCCTATAGAGAACTGCCTAATTCTTTTTATTACGTGAAGACACAGCTAGAAAGAGTAACTTTGGAGCCAGAAAGTGGCCTCTACATCTGTGGCACCTTGATTCTGGCCTTCTTAGCCTTCAGAATTGTTGGAAGTAAATTTCTATTGCATACAAAACCCCTAGGTTATAGTATTTTGTTATAGCAGGCTAGGTGGATTATGACAGCCCTCTACCTAGTTAGAAAAGTCCTCTTGTGGGGGGTTCCTTGTGTTAGGAATATTGGTATGTATTTTCAAATACATTATCTTAGATTCTTCATTTTATGTAATAAAATAAATGTGTGCATCTACATAAAGATGAACATATAAAATACACAATCAACAAGTCATTGTTGTGAATATTTAGATTAGATGGAGAAATTAATAAGGTTTAGTTATCTACCCTAGAACTCCTAAATAGCTATCCAAAGCTGATCACAGAGCCATTTAACAAATCAGAAGATAGCCTCGCACAAAACAAATGACAAAAAGCTCATTTCAGTGTTGGCAGAGTACAGCTGACTGTGGATTTGACACTTGGTATGTGTGACTGTCACAGAGTCTCATATAGACAGGGGACAAACACCTGGAAGATGAACTTTTGTTTTGTCACTTTAGCATTCAGATCCTCTGTGTGACTTTGGGCATATTTTGCAGATTCTGGGATATAGAAAACGTTCCAAAAAGTGCTTAACAAATAAAGGAGACACTCAATTTCCATGAAGAGAAATCTATGTTAGTTACCCAAAGGGTTATCTGAATCTCCACGGTGAGTTTCTGTTGCACTCTCTGTACACAGCAATCTGTGGGATAATAATACTGCTTGCCTATTTCCACTTATATAGGAAATAAACTATATAGGATTTTCTAGCAAGCAATTCTAAGTTTTGTCACTGTGGTGGGGAGAATAGATGGAACCATAGATTGTTAAATTACTAATTGCCTCAGGCATCTTCTGCTTGCCTAAACGGAGACAAAGTAGCTTGGCTAGGGTCACACAAAAGTTAGAAGGAGAACTCTGAAATTGAAGGTCACCTGTCCTTATCACCTGTCCTGTCTAAACAGTAAGAAGTGCAGGAGGGTAGAAGGCACCATTCCACCTGCTTCTTTTGTACTGGCTTATATGTGGGGTCAGAGTCTGGGATGACTATGAGGCAGAGGATGTAAACAGAGAGACCTTCTGTTTTGATTTGAGTTTGAGATGTTTTTCCATAGGCTCATGTGTTGAAGGTTTGGTTCTCTGGTATGTTAGGAACATTAACTGACGGGCCTAGTTGGAGGAAGTAGGTCACTGGGGCGTGTATCTTGGGTGCTGTCTTGCTCTGTGGTCCCTCTGTTTGCTTCCTGGCTGCCACTGCCAGGTGATAAGTGTCTTCCACAACAACACTGCCATGCTCTTCTGTCTTTGACTCACAGCAGTGGAACCAGCTGACCACGGACTGAAACAATGATATAAAGTATGTCTCTCCTTTAATTTTCCCCCACAGGTATTTGTCACAGAGATAAGAGACTAACACTCTTCACAGGCATTTGAAATAAAAAAAAAAAAGGCCAAACAAAGCACATCTATGTGGTGTGTTTGAGTTATGGTTACAGCTGGATCTCTGGTAGGGGCTTCCAGGAGGAGGTGTGTGCTGACTTAGGTTGTCATAGAGGTCTCCTTCTGCATAGTCATGTGGATATTGCACCTAGCAGTTATTGATAACCTCATAGATTTAAGTTGGGAGATGAGAGGTGGCTGTACCATATTCTGAACTCAAGAAGGGATGCTGGAACCGAAGATAATTTTCCTCCTGCTAAGAAAGAACCTGAGGGCAGATATGGTAATTTGGCTAATTGTTTAAGTGAACTCTTTTTTGCAGGGATAGATGGACTGAAAGATATTATCATTCATCGAGCACTTAACCGATGGCAAGATGAAAGAGTTCAGGGTAGTGTTTGAGCTCGTTATTTAAAAGAATGGAAAAAAATGCAGTGTCAAATAGGACTCCCTGCACATCTGACCTGCTCATCTTTCCAATGCCTAAACCTCATTGCATAATCAGAGATCACATTTTGGATGGAAATCCTCCCGATGCAGTAAACTGGCATGTTAAATTTACCCTGAAATACAAGATTATCAGGCTTTCATAGTAACAGATGTGGATTGGGGTATGTGTGTGTGTGGGGAAGAATGAGTGGGGAAGTTCCTTTTTTAGTCTTTTTCCCCTGAGACAGGGTTTCTTTGTGCAGCCCTAACTGTACTGGAACTTGCTTTGTAGACCAGGATAGTCTCAAACTCACAGAGATCCACCTGTCTC